TAGTATTTTATTATTAAGATAATAAGGTGCAGTTTTACTTTAGAAATGCACTGAAGTATTTTTTGGTCCTGATTATGATCAATGTTTGTACCTGGTACACGACACCTGAGAAGATGCATTTCCTGTTCTTAAGGTACAAGGTTATATCAATGTGCAGATATTTATCCAAACATTGAATAATTTGAGTGCTTTATGTCTGTGATTATTTCTTTTTGTCCCCTTGGCCTGCCAGAGAGTTATGGTGATGCAAGAAATTTTAATACTCCTCACATGTTTCCTTGTATTTCATAGAATAATACTGTGTTATTCTGAGCTTAGTGTTTCCTGAGGCTCAGCTTTTTTATGGCTCTGTCTTGTATCAATATGCAATTAACCTTTTTTCAGTATATTCTTTATTTTTGTTTTTGTTTAATATTTTTTGTTTCCATAGGTTTTTGAGGAACAGATGGTATTTTGTTACATTCCTTAAGTTCTTTAGTGGTGATTTGTGAGATTTTGGTGCATCCATCACCCTAGCAGAATACACTGAACCCCATTTGTAGTCTTTTTTCCCTCACCCCCTTCCCATCCTTTCCCCCTTTGTCCCCAATTCTCTTCAATTTATTCTTTAACATGGGTATACCACTCCTGCTTTTTTTTCTTCGTGCTATCTTGTTTCATTCTTTTATTTTCAACTTTCTTCTACCTTTTCATCTCATGTAAGCTTCAATTCATTGAATTGGATTTTTATTTTGAATTAATATTGAAATCTTGTGTTTCACTGATATGTGTAGCATTTCTTGCTTAAGCTCCTGTATTTACCTTCCTTTATTTTCTTTTTTCTCACACTGGCTCTAAAACCCCTCACCAATTGACCAGTGACTCTGTGTTCAATATTGTGCCATGCTCCTCGCAAAGCACATGGAAACATAGCACTCAGTTCTTGTTCTTGGGGATTTTATAAACTAACTAGGAGATAAATAGCCATGCAAAATTTACAATTAAATACTAAACCATGTGTACTAGTTATTAGCTGAAGAGACTTTTTAAGAAAATAGAAGTATTAGCTGCAAAAACAACCAAAAAATGTCATAGCAGTGAGCATTATGGGTGAGGTAGAATTTAGCTGAGTGGGAAGACAGACCTTCATGTTATTCACTCTGTATCAGTGGCTGCCAAATGCTATTCCTTTGGGGACTTACAGAGGCACCTGGTCAGTCGGTCTGAGTATGGATCCAGTAATCTGTATCTTTAGAAGCTCTCCAATAATTTAGCTGCATGGCCAAATTTAGAAAACGTTACTTGAGATAATTATATCACATACTCTGAAATGGTTCTTACACTGCATAAATCTAGTAACTATCCCTGAAGGTCTTACTTAAAGTTTTCATTTGTCATACAATGTTCAAATAAGGCAGAAACACTATGTTAACTCATAGATTGCATTTCCCAAGTCAGGATAAAAAAAGATTGAGCACCTGCCCTACACCCTTTGACTTTTTATTCTTGTGACAATTCTAATTGCAGTGTCCAACTATGCAGCAGCCTATGTGTCATTAACTATAACTATAAACAACACAACCACCACCCAGTGCTTGTCAGTCTGAAATATTATGGTATCATTGTGAGGAGAAAGTAAGTAGTGTGTGAAAAAATGGAAATGAATGAACTGGATGTGTTTACTCTGGAGAAAGAAAGATTTGGAGAAGACATGATAGCCCTCTACAAATATTCAGAGTTGGTACATTGAAGAGGAAGTAACTTGCTCTGTGTAAAGAACACGGCCAATGAATGAGATCTGTGGGAAGACACATCTTTGTTCAATAAGAGGAAGAAGATACAAACATGCCTTGAGGGATAAAAGTTTCCATCTCAAGAACTGCTCAAATAGGTGCAAGCCTGGGATTAATCTTCAGATTGTCTTTAAAGAGTTTCTTTTTTTTTTTTTTTTTTTTTTTCTATTCTAAAGATACTAACAGACAGTCCCATGCAGAAATAATTGCTAAAGTGGCCAATCCCAGCTTAGCAATACAGGCTTTCCCCTGTGCCAGGGTTGAAATATTTGGTTGCCTAGCAACGATTACATATCTGTGATGCATCAGAAAATCGTTAGTTTGTGCCTGGGTTGATTTGGTAGTTCTTAACACCATACTTGGTTCATTTCATTCATGACAAGTATTCCCAGTATAGTTTATTACATATCAAAAGGGTGTTGAGCTGCAACTTGCACGGTAGTCATCTTTATCAAACCCTACCCAGCTGCCCAGCTTAGCCATAATGATCACTATAGAAATAGATGTTTGATTCAGGCAGGAGATGAACGGAGAGGACGGTGAGAGCACAGTAACAGTTGGGAGACTCATAAACGGTTAAAATACATTAAATCTAGTAGAGTTCTTGGAGTGATGGTACAATTTTAATCATGAACTCTTCAACTTTGAAATCCTGTGAATTTTTAATAGGTAACTAATACCAGCATTTAAGGTATAGAACAGAGTTTAAATACATAGCATACTTTGGTCATAACTTTGCATTTACAGTCTCCTAGGAAACCAACAAAATATATCTGAATAGTTCAAAAGTATGATCTCATTTATAAAGAGCTGCTTTATATTTCAAGAACCAAAGAACTGTTATTTGTCAAACTTCCACATTAAATATCTGCCAAGATATCTTATTAGGTTTTCTTAGTAATAATGACTCAGTACATAAAATAAACCATGGAACTCTGTCAGATTCTATCCACGTTAAATAATTGAGACACTCATTTCCTCTCCTTTGTTTGATTTCTCCAACCCAAATCATAATGTTAGAAAGTGATGGATTTTGATTCATTTCTCTTTCTCTCTAAAAGATTTAGAACTGCTTTAGGTAACTTTTTATTAGCCAGTCCAAGACATTGGTACAACAATATAATTAATAGCATTTTTAATGAAAATGATGGCATATTAATTGGTAATTTTTGGATGAGTGTTCTTCCTAATTACTTATTAACCTTTAAATCAGATATACACAAGGGAACAGAACAAGATTCATGTCTTTGAGTATCTGAAAGCTTTTTCAAGGTGCTTTTTATAAAAAGAATCCAGAGAAACTGTTTTTTCCCCCAGAGGAAACTTAAAATTATATCAGGAGCTAAGTGTGGTATGATGCTCAGCACATTAATATGCCACAGAATTTTTCAGTGTAGCTCTTCATGGCCCTTCAGTGAATCATTATTAATAGAAGTATGGTTTAATGAGATAGTAAAGAGGATGCCATCAATTTTTCTTTATCATTTGAATTGGAGCTAGTTGCAAAAAGGTGCTTAAAAGAGAAAAATACTATTATCAGTTGAGATTGTCTATTTGAAGGTTCTACATGCATTCTAGAAAATGAGGGAGGCTGGGCCAAGAGAAGATTTCCAGATCTTTGGCCCCAAACATTAAGTCTGAATTTGTGGAGCTGAAGAAAGTTCTACAGATAAGGTGAGATCAACCTGACTCATTGCCATTTTACACAATAGGCCTATCTAAATGGTTCAAGATCAAGTAGATTAAGAGGCAGATAGGAAAGGGCATCCCAGTCTAAGGTTCTTGTCTGTGGCCCTGTCCTGGTCTGAGTTTCTGTCTGGCCTTTTTGTCCAAGTGGTACTGTTGAAGGAGAGTCACTATTTGAAGGTCAAAGTTGCTCTTTCACTCCTTCTGCAGATTCACTTTCTACCTATGCCTTACCTCAATGCCTTTGTTCTGTTAACTTTTCTGCTTTCTTCCTCTGTCTCTGCCTTCTTTCATTTATGTAATGGGCATTTATTGAGGGCCTAACTACATGAAGTTCTGTCTTTGACATAAAGGGTACAGCAGTGAAGACACTACTACTGCCTTCAAATTGCTGATAGTCAGGAGCGGGTCAAGATGAGTATCAGGCAACTGCCATACAGTACGATAAGTACCAGGAAGGGTCTCCATGTATCCTGGAGTATAGTAAGATCTATGGCATGTCCTCTGGAAACAACTTGCAGGCTTAGCCAACTTAGACTTGGGGTTGGGGAGGTCAGAGAAAACATCTCATTAGACTTGACTGGGAGAATTGGGATGGGAATGGATGAGTGGGCGCCATGGCCATCTCTGACTCTGCCTTCTCTAACTCCATGAAGCTGCCTTTTCTTTCAGACACCCTGTCCCTGTCCCTTCATGTCTCCATCTTCCAAGTCTCCCTGCTAGATGGTTATCTGCCAAAAAAAAATAGCCCCACCCAGGACCATCCATCAAACCACTATGCAACAATAGAGACTAAGACGCTGATTACAGGCCCTGCTGCAGGTTGAAGAAGAGTTGATGAAGGAGTCTGGATATCCATTCTTTTCTTATGGTTTGCCTCCCAGTTTCAAGAGATCTGAGTGCAGCTGCAGACCAAGTTTTAACTGTGGCTCTGCATGTCATTCTAAACAAGCAAAGCCTGCCAGAAACAATATGCAAAGACAAAATGCTAAACTGTAGCTAGAGCAGCAATTAATCAAGAAGTCAATAAACACATAAGCAAGCAAATAAAGAAAATAAATAAATAGGGATAATATTAGGAGAAATATCTAATGTAGGTGAGGGGTGGATGGATGCAGGAAACCGCAATGGCATGTGTATACCTGTGTAACAATCCTGCATGATGTGCACATGTACTCCAGACTTAAAGTATAACTTAAAAAAAGAAAATAGATAAACAAACAAAATACTTCTTGAAAGGAGAGGGAGAACAGACAAGTAGAAGAAATCATAATAACAGCGCTGTTTACTCAGGGTATACTACACATTGTAAACTATCTCCTTCAGTATATTAGACATCATTCTTTTTGTTTTGAGACAGAGTTTTTGCTCTTGTTTCCCAGGCTGGAGTGCAATGGTGCAATCTCGGCTCACCACAACCTCTGCCTCCTGGGTTCAAGCAATTCAATTCTCCTGCCTCAGCCTCCTGAGTAGCTGGGATTATAGGCATGTGCCACTACGCTGGGCTAATTTTGTATTTTTAGTAGAGACAGGGTTTCGCCATGTTGGTCAGGCTGGTCTTGAACTCCTACCTCGGGTGATCAGCCCGTCTCAGCCTCCCAAAGTGCTGGGATTACAGGTGTAAGCCACTGTGCCCGGCCACAGATACAGTTCTTAAAACAATCCTGGAAGGTGATTTCTTAAAAACAAAACAAAGCTTCTGGAGTGGTCTTTGGCACAAAGTAGGAAGGCAGTAACTATTTCTTGAATACATGAATACATCTTTCTATTTGCTTGGTGTCTGTCTTCCCTCTCTCTCCCTGGAATATGAACTCTCTGATGGCAGAAACCTTGTTTTGCCTTCTGCGATATCCCAAGCACCTAGAATGCAGCCTAGCACATGGGAGACACTCAATGAGTATGTCTTCTCTAAAAGATGGAAAACCTGAGGTTTAACAAGATGCAATATCTTTTGCAAAATCACACAATAACTGGGAAGATCTGGGACTTGACCCAAGTCAACCCATGACCTTTTCCCTTTACATAATGTCTATCTTACCTTTTCTTCCTCCTCCCCATAATCATTCTCTTATTACCTCAGGCCTCTTTATATCCCAAATATTCTTTTCTGTCAATAATTCACCAATAAGGTTCTGTTTAAAGGACTTAGCACAAAAGCATGTGTTGGTGAATGAATATTTCAAACGTATCTATTAGAGTAGGAAATGATGGGGAAGTTTTATTCTCCTGTCTGTGCCAAAAAAGTAGTAGAGGAATACACAGGCATAAAGGATTGCTTGTCCCTTGCACCTGCAGTGGGCCTTCTGCTGTGGAGACAGTGCAGTTGAATCTTAATAATATAAAGTCAAACTCACTGGTGCACTACAGCTCATCCTCCGGATCACCTGAGGTCACGTGGTCACCTGATAAGTGTAGGCAGACTGTAATCTCATAGTATAATGATCATAGTGAAAGAATAACTTGTAGCAGTACCTGGCTGGTTTGGGAGGAAGGCAGAAGGAAAGCAATGGGAAGTTAGGAACTGCAGAATCAGGATTGAAAATTTTGGTGCTGGTCTGAAGAATCCATGTAACTCAGAATTTCACAAAGCATGGGCATTGGTGGTTTTTGTTAGTACTAGGTTCCAGCTACTTTTTTATTTTTCTAGTTTTTTTCCCATTCTTTCTACACTGACTTCTTCTCTCTGTTTTTCCTATTAGCTGAATGAAATGTAAAGCTTTCTAATATTGTCAGTGTTTTAGGGAACCATGCACTATCACAGTGCATAATAGTGTGTGTAAAGGCAAAACAAGGTTCCTGCTGTCAGGGAGCTTACATTCTGGGAAGAGAGGAAAGGGGTCAGGCACCAAACAAATAAATAGATTTATGGAATATAAATTGATTTAGGCTTTTGGAGGATAATTCATAAATATATATTAAATTCTTAAAGGTTCACAATGGTTCAACTCAGTCGTTCCATTTCTAGATATTCGTTCTAGAGAAATACTTGTGCATATGAACAGAGGCATGTACATGGTTGCTCATGTCAGTAGTAGCAATAATAGAGAAAAGGACAAACAATCACACTGCTTATCAATGAGGAACTCTGGAGAGGGAATTGGTTACATGAACTATGGTTCATTTGTACTATGAAATACTGTATATTTGGAAATAAGGTAGAATTACTATATCTATCTATCTATCATCTATATCAAAGACATACACACATGACTTGAAAAAAGTCTTCAAGACATATTACTTAGTAGGAACAAAAATGTTTGCTGTACTATTTTGTACACTATTATCTTTTTTATTTAAAAAACATTCTAAGAGATATATTCCATAGGTACACATATAATGTGTCAATGAGGTTGTAGCAGCTAAGCTGTCATAAGAGACCCAACAATCATGTGGCTTTTAACCATATGGCCTAGACCAATGAGCAAAAAGCTTACTGCTGTCTCATCACAGGATGTGGGGGCTGTTCCAAAGTCATTCAAGGCCCATATTTCTTCCATATTGTGGTGGTTCTGCCATTCTTTAGGCTCTAGGGCCTTAGAATTGCATAGACAAGGCTGAGTCACTGATATAGCCAGGTCCCAACCAGCCATAAAGGAAAAGAGAAAATGTGGGGGAGACCTATTCACTACCGTAAGGGTCCCACCTTAGGGACCACACACATCACTTTCACTCACAACCTGTTGGTGAAAACTTTGTCCAACAGCCACCTCGTATAGCAAGGAGGGTTGGAAATGCAGACCCTGGCAAGATGCCCATGTACCTAACCATAGCTCTATGACAGTGAAAGTAACAGAGAATAAGTTTTGCTGGACAGCTAACTATCTTCCTCACCATATACAGCAGCACTGTCCCCAACCTTTTTAGCATCAAAGACTGGTTTCATAGAAGGTGGGGGGATAGTTTGGGGATGAAATTGTTCCACCTCAGATCATCAGGCATTAGATTTTCATAAGGATTATGCAACCTAGATCCCCTGCATGTGCAGTTCACAACAGGGTTCCATTCCTATGAGAGTCTAATGGTTCTGCTGATCTGACAGAGGCAGAGCTAAGGCGGTAATGCTTGTCAACTTCCTGTCTAACTCAGAATCTGTAACAGCTCCATGAGGCCAGCTTAAGCTCCCAACTGGCCTCTCTTGTAACATTGCCTTTCTCTTCTTCTTACTTTTCACCTTCAACATCTTTACTCCACTATACTCTCTTCCATGCTAACCACCATTGAACTGCTTCAGAAATTTGGATGCTTAATTTCTACTGGATTATAAGCAGGATGCCCACTGCCTACTGGATTATAAGAAGTCAACAAAATTATAATCCAGTAGGGATTATACCTACAAATGGCCTTTTACCCTTGCACTGGGATTTTTTCACTCACTCCTTTACTCACACAAATATATTGGGCATTTATAACAATGATAGATCCATTAGGAAGCTGGAGTGATGAGACAGAGTTGTCATTGACACCAGCTGTACCCTTCAGAAACGTATATTGAATTAGCCAAACAAGACATCTGTGTCAGAATAGATGAGTAACAATGGCAGTTGATGTGCCTGAGTTAGTGGTAAAGCTATTAAGCTAAGTAGGACTTCAAAATGGGAGATGATGACTAGGATTAGGTTTGACTGGAGGTTCCTTAATGAGATGAGACTGGAATTGTACCCTCAGGCACCTGTGGTATTTGTCTAGACATAAAGACATTAACATGTATGGTGGGAATGGAGTGAACACTTATTGACTGCCTGCTACGTGCTGTGCCCTGTTTCAGGCATTTTGCCTGCATTACTCCATTTATCCCTATAACATATCATTAAAATAGGTACCCTGATTTTACAGAGAAAGAAAATGAAGCAGAGAGCTTATATTAATGCCTCTCCCCAGGCTAGGAAGCAGAAGAAGTGGGATGTATGTCTGGTTTCTAATGACCTCACTGTGTCTCAGAGCATTTCAGGCAGGAGAAGAAGCAGGAGCAATGTGATGGAAGAGAGTTGAGTGTGATCCATTGAGGGACAGGGAGGAAGGGAGGAGAGCAGGTTGGGTGGCAGTATGTCATTCCATATGCTTTTAGGTTGAGGTCACCCTGGTGTCTGATGTGCTCTGGTCCAAGAGAATTGAGTTACTTGCAGGAAGTGCTGTATCATGCTTCACTTGGCACTGAGTTCTCCACTAGCCGTGGGGGAAAGACACCCTACAAGTCAGTCCAGCTATACTGGCCCAATTTAACAAACCAGTTTAGATGAGGTCTTTAGTTAACAGAAAACACCATCAGCCTATATTAGTTCATTGATAGCAAACGCTGACCGAGAGTCCTACAACCTTCCTGTATCATGAGCATCAGTTGCTCTGGGTGACTTGTGGTCACTAGAACATAGGGCAGATGGGTCTCCCTGGTCCCTGACCTACATGGTCTCAGAGCAGCAGTAAGCTCTACTCCTCTTGGATTTCTTCTGGTTGGATGCTTGCTCAGCTCTTCATGAGGTGACTGTATTCCAGTGTTTCTCAGAGATCATGTTCTTTAAAACTCCTTGAGATTTTGGCAGCAATTTCTCAGCACGTCCTTGGAGGTGTGTTTCTCCCTGGTCCTGCAGCTATCACCCCTTGCTTCTGCCCTGAAAGCCCTCTCCTCTGGAAAGCTGAAACAAAAAGGATCTTCCTAGGCTATTTTCCCCCCTTTCCCTCTCTGACCCAAGCCATAAACAATTCTCAAATGCTTTCCAAAGACCTTTTCTCTAGAAATGGCTCATTATTTTGATAAGTCAAATGAGAGGAAGATAATCCCTTTTAATTAGAAAGACATGATGGGTAATGCTTTTTATAGTGTTACCTCTGTATTACGGGGGCCCAGAATGCCGAAAGAAGTAATTTGTCCTTTTTCCTGAAGGTATCTTGGCTGTGGGGTGTGGTTGGGAGGGGAAAGCCTTGGAGTTCTCTGAGTAGAAAAATGATAGGATGGATGTTTATGATTTGTACTCTGGTGATCTAGAGTGGTAATAGTGCCCAGCACTATGCCAAGTTCTTTACAAGTGTTTCCCTTAATCCTTACAAGGAACCCTATGAGATTGGGCCCATTTTGTGGATGTGACAACTGAAGCTTAGAGGGTTTTATTTTTCCTATGGCTGGTACATGGCAGAGCTGAGTTTGATCCTGATAATTTCAATCCAAACACAATGGGTGTAAATATTTTGCCAGTGAGGACAGAGAGAGAAACTTCCAGGAGGCTGTTGTGGAGTCTGTACTTCAGCAGGGGGCCAGACTTTGTTGGCTCTGGGAATAGAACAGAAAGGAAGGGTGAGGTCGTTGACAGGAAAGGCTGGCAGGCAGAGAGTGAAAAGGACAATGAAGAAGAGAGGAAGGGGCACTGACTGGGAGCCCTGCAGCCAAGCGTGTTCCAGTAGCTATGCCACCAATCCCTACGATCATGTCATGAAAAAGTTCTTATTTTCTCCATTTTGTGGTTGAGGAGATAGATTCAGAGATTTGAAATGACTCCATAGCATCCAAGCGGCAGAGCAGGGATTTGAACCAGGCCCTATGTGATTTCCAGTTCGGAGCATTTTGTACCTGTCTATACTCTCCAGATGTGGCTTCAAGCTTCAGCCTTGGGCATGAGGAGGAAGCACGAAACCTTTCCCAGAAACAGGGAAATTGTGTCCCAGTGAAGGACATAGGGGCAGGCTTTGGGATAATGAGTTCCTCGGGGAGCTGGCAGGAGTCTTTTGGGGTAGAAATTTCTTAGCTATTTGGGGACAGGAGCCGGTAGTGCAGATTTGGATGGCAGAAGTCACGAGGCAGATGCCAGCCCTCAAGGGAAAACAGGTGGAGTCGGGAGGGTGCTGGGTGCTGGCAATGGGTGGGGGTGCCCACAAACAGAAACGAAGATTAACCACAGGACCAGCAAACGCAATGGAGAAGGTACCGTACAAGAAAGTAAGAGGGTGCCAGGGTGAGAGACAATCAAAATGGAGAAGGCATAGAGGTCGGAATCCAGGCACACCCCAGCCAGCTGCTGGCTCTCCCAACTACCCAGGCTGCAGCAGTGATATTTTGGATCACATCAATTTTATTAAGAATATATTACATTGGTTCTTCCTTTTCCATCTGCCATCTGCGCCTCAGGTGGGGACACAACCAAAATGCAGATTTTCGTGAAAACCCTTATAGGGAAGACCATCACCCTCGAGGTTGAACCCTCGGATACAATAGAAAATGTAAAGACCAAGATCCAGGATAAGGAAGAAATTCCTCCTGATCAGCAAAGACTGATCTTTGCTGGCAAGCAACTGGAAGGTGGACGTACTTTGTCTGACTACAACATTCAGAAGGAGTCTACTCTTCATCTTGTGTTGAGACTTCGTGGTGGTGCTCAGAAAGGAAGAAGTCTTACACCACTCCCAAGAAGAATAAGCACAAGAGAAAGAAGCTTACGCTGGCTGTCCTGAAATATTATAAGGTGGACGAGAATGGCAAAATTAGTCGCCTTTGTAGAGAGTGCCCTTCTGATGAATGTGGTGCTGGGGTGTTTATGGCAAGCCACTTTGACAGACATTATTGTGGCAAATGTTGTCTGACTCACTGCTTCAACAAACCAGAAGACAAGTAACTGAGTTAATAAAAGACATGAACCAACAACAACAACAACAACAACAAATATGTATATGTATGTATGTACATATATATATACATATTACATTGCATTAAATGCTGCAGCCATGAAGGGCACTGCAGTGTTTCCTCTCAGGCCTCCCTGCTCCGGTGGCAGAATGCCCCATTTTCTCAGGGACACTCTCTGACGGGCTATTGTTTTCCAATAAAGTATTTGCTGAACATATGCCTCACAAAAACGAATGGAAAAATAATAATGTAGACTGTCTCTGAACCTTATAGGAAAGTGTAGGCTTTCATTTAATGAGCTTTGGAGACAACATAGTAATTTTTAATGTCCTGTCAAGTCTGTTAAATTGTGATTCTACCAGGATTTTACATCGAGCCAGAACCAGCATGTCCCAGGGTATAAATTAGGCATAATTGAATATGCACCAGCTCTTTCGGTCACTAGGATATAATTTAATGCTGTGATTGAATAAGTGACACTGTTGTGGGCTGACAAGCCCTCTCTCAAACTTCTAGCCCACTTTCAGGAAGTAACTGGGGAGGCAGAGACCATCATATGACTTGACACCAGCGTTTTCCAAACCTAATCCCACATCTGAAGAAGGGCTCCAATCCATGGCCCTTGGTTTATATTTTCAATAGAGGGGACAGGAATTTGCATTTTTAAAAATTCTCTGATTAATTCAGTTGGAAAGTCATATTAGAAAACACTGTTTTTATGTTATTCTAGGAGAAAAGTCTTTGTCGATCATAGTATAAGATCTTTAAAGACCTGGTTTTGGATTCCAGATCTATCATTTATAAGCTAGATGACCTTATGCAAATCATTTGCAAAGTGGCAATAATAATAGTAATATCTAGCCTGCTTAGCTCGTAGTATTGTTATAAAAATCAAGTGATACGATGAAATGACAGAGATTTGCAAACTATTAAATGCTTACAAACAAAACACATTATTACATAGACTTAAAATAATAAGTTCTGTGGTGTTACTTCCACGATAGTCTCTGAGGAGAGAAAGTTGGAGGGATACCAGCTCTGCTTAATTTAGAGAAGTTCTTTTTGACCTTTATGCTTTAAAATCTGATTTATATATTGACCTTCTACATAAGGCTTCATTGGAAATCTGCTGCTTAAAAAAGGCGGTTGAAAATCACTACTCTGTGTTCTGTTGGGCTTTCTGCCCATATTCTTCCTGCTTTTAATTACCAGCCCACCCTTAATCAAGTAAGTGCTAATTACCACCTTCACGGGTATTTTAAAAAGGTAAAATTCCAGTTAGCATCTTGACTTGACTTCTTATCAGGAGTTCTGGTTAAATTATTTGGTTTAGTTGAAAAACAATGGCTAACATATATTTTTAGATGAATTACTCTTATTTTCAAATTTTCTTTCTACTACCCCTATGCATAATTAGGAAATTGCTTTAATAGGAGAATTTCTATTTAAAATCTACTACTTGGAAATAGTGAAATCTAAGAGATACACATGTATCAGATGATATGAGCAAATCAGAAAACGTATCAATCCCCAATGCTCAGACAATATTAGAAAGATGTAATTTTAAATTAACTGCGTAAAAGCCTAAACCATCACTTCAAAATCCCAAATCGGCTGGGTACAGTGGTTCACGCCAATAATCACAGCACTTTGGGAGGCTAAATCAGATTGATCACTTGAGCCCAGGAGTTTGAGACAAGCCTGGGCAACATGGTGAAACCTCATCTCTACAAAGAATAAAAAAAAATGGCTGGATGTGGTGTCACATGCCTGCAGTCCCATTTACTCAGGAAGCTGAGGCAGGAGAGTTTATCACTTGAGCCTGGGAGGTCAAGGCTGCAGTGAGCTATGATCACACTACTGCGCTCCAGCCTGGGCAACAGAGGAAGACCCTGTCTCAAAACAAACAAACAAACAATTCCAGGGATTTTATATTTTTTGCCAGAGTCTCATGATGGGTTTCTCATGAAAAGTTCAAGACATTTGACAGAAAGCTGTCCAAGCGATAATGGTTTCTAAGAGTAGCTGAACAAGGGGGAAGGGGAAGAGAAGGAATGAAAAAGGGAATAGAACAAATGTGTTAATTCCAACAGATTCCAGTGGGGCTTTCTCTTCCCCGAGCCTGGAGGTGTCCTGGCATTATTGTGCCCTCACTGAGCAGCTTCCACTGCTAGTCTGCCCATGTTCCCTTTCTCTCCTCATACAGAGGCAAGGTGGAAAAACGAAAACATTTTCTATAACGTTAAAAATCATTTCCTCTCCCCTTTCCCCAGTGTCCCCAACCAGAATAACCTAACTTAATAGGTTATTTCAGATGATGGAATTGTCTGACCTTCTTCGCCACTGCCCCTTAACCCTTGCTCACTGCAAGGCAACCTGGTGGTTGCTCTCAATACTCCACCAACTGCCTTTGATGAGACCACCAGTAACTGTTTAATTGCCATATTCAATGGCCATTTTTGCAGCCCTTCATTTTGCTTGACCTCTCAGCAGTATTTGACACAGTTGAGCACTCTCACTTTTTCTCACGTTCTTCAAACAGTCCCATCTTCTTCTTTCCTCTTCTTCAAGGCACATGTTTCTGGAGACTTCCATTACCCTCTGAGAGCAAATTCATGGTCACTCCTTGCAACTACTGTGACATAAAAGACACCTCTTTCTTTATATTGCAATGATTTGTAAACATGATGGAGAGGCTGGGACTGGGCATCAGTGGGATTGCCTGGGACATAAATGGGAAACTCATCCCTTGGTGGTCCTCATTTCACTTTCTCCATCTGAGCAAGGAACAAAGGAGCAAATACTTCCAGTAAAACTTGAAGGGCTTCCCAGCACCAGAAAGGGATGAGGAGAATAGGTGTCCTACTTATGAGCTCATTTTTCATGTGGAGGAGGCCTGCTTGGGAAGTAGACAGCCTCTGGACATTGGTCTCCTGGGGCTCGGTAGAGTCTGGTGTTGTTGCCAAGCAACAGGAACAAGGCTCAAGGACTCTAAGTTCTTGTCTAATTGGGAAGAAAATTTGGATGAATTCTCAACAGGATTTCAGGAATGTGTGGAAGCTCTGCCTTGGTTGGATCACTCTGTGTTCATGAAGTCTCCCTGCATGCCCAGCCCTGTAGACTCTTGATTTTTCTCAATATAGCGTCTTACGCCTTATCGTTCAAGGCATGTTTCTGCTGTCTACCTGGTTAATTGAAAACCTTTCTGGAGGATAGAAAGAAAGTCTAAATCTCGTGGGTTCCATCTCCCAGCATGCAACATAAATAAAACCATCTTCAATAAAACCATGTTGATTGATTTGTTGATTGATTGATTATTTGACCATCTTAGTTGGTTGTCAGAAATCCTCTCTTTATTTTTCTTGGTGGACACAAGTTTAGTGAGACTCGTCGAGGCCAACTTTGCCTTTCAACTTTGAACTTCTATTGATTTTTCCACTGTGTGTGCCAAAGCCTTAAATTGATTCCAGATGCTTAAAAGAGATGTATATTTTTCCTCTACACATTTTAAGGAAAAAAAAAAAACTTTGAGTGTATTTTCCCTAGACTCAACCAAAACCAGATAGTTTTTTTCAGCAATGTATGAATGAACAACAAAGTGGTTACTTTGGAAGCCAGCATGAAGTTATATTGGATTTCAGAAAAGTCAAGTAATCCCATGTTTCATGTGATTCCAGGTAAAAGAAAAAATATTTAGTCAGCAACAGGAAAGGGAAAAATAAATTCAAAAGCTCCCTTGTGCAGATTTGTGATACAAAAACTGAAAAATTTAATGTAGCAGCAGTATGCCAAATTATATTAGTAAATATGAATTGCTTTTTAGACAAAAGAATATTCATGACATTTTTGCTGCTTAAAGATAAAATGATCTCTTTTTTGTTCATTGAATCATAAAATCTTGGACCTGGAAAAGACTTTAGAGAATTAAATTATTTTCCACCCAAGTGCTAAGATAGTGACTCCTCTAGGGCACGGATCATATTTTCTGCTCCCTCTTCAAAATGTCCACAGTGCTGAGTCAAATGCTGTGCACTCAATTCCTTAAATAACACTCAGTGATGAGAATGCTGTTTACAGATACAGGGGCTAAAAACAAAAATCTCATCCTCGCTTTTTGGAATTGTGTTTCTCTTTGAAAACAACTCATTTTGAGCCATAGAGATATTATAATAATAGGGATTACATCTTTGGGATTTTCCTTGTATCACTCATTTCTAGTCATGCAAAGAATCACACTGGTGCTTTTGCTGCCAGGCGAGCACTGGCTGGCTGCCATATGCCTGCAGGCCCCAGTTCATAGAGGACCAGCACATTGACCTGCTCATTCAAAAACTGTTACCAGAGCTTTACCTTTATATCACCACAGTACAGTGACTTACAATGATTCCAGATCAATACTCCTTTCAGAGTTCCTCTAGGAAGTCCTACCAGCTGTCATGTAAGGGTAATTAACACATCTCTCTCAATTATGCATGCTGGTGGAAGAATTTCAAACATTTGGCTGGATAACAAATCCATCCCCTCTGTTAGAGAAAGGTCATCCCTCTGGCCATCTGGGTATTTACTTTTCTTTAGAAATGAGCTTCATGGAATTTTCTGTTGGAAGGGGAAAATGATGAGGACAAAGGGAATTTCCTAGTAAAAATGATGATGACAACTTTTAACACTGCTCATACCCACACACCAATAATCTTAAATCTTACACGCAACCCCTTTTAAATTTATTTTACTCTCCACTAACCTACATCATGTGTGGCCTGCCCACTATTACAACAAGAGCTGCTTTAGAGGCCCCTGAAGTTTTATGATGATCAATCTGTACAACAGAACATTTCTTTTTCCCCTGATGTGTTCACAAAACATACAAGTGATCACTTTGGGAAAAGGCACTGAGAGGCGTGCAAGGATGAGTAAGTCCCTGCTCTTAAGGAAGGTACAGTCTAGCAGCAGGGAATACAAGTAACTGTGACAATGACAATGGTCATAGCCCTTCATTTCTAGCAAGATAAGCA